ATTCCCTTTGAATATATACTCTGAAGTGGGATTGCTGGCTTTTAATTTTTTTTGAGAAACCTCCGTATTATTTTCCTTAATGGCTGTACCAATTTATAATCCCATCACCTGTGTACAAGGATTTCCTTTCTCTACATCTTCACCAACACTAGTTATCTTTCATCTTTTCTAGTAACAGCCATTCTAACAGATTTGTAATATACCTGTTGGCCACTTGTATGTCTATCCAGGTACTTTGCCCATTTTTTAATTTGGTTATTTTCTTCTTTTGCTATTAAGTTGCATGAGTTCCTTATATGTGTTGAATATTAACCCCTTATGAGACATACTTTTTAAACATTTTCTCTTATTCTGTTGGTTGCCTTTTCATTCTGTTATTTCCTTTGTTGTGTAGATGTGTTTTAATTTGATGCAATCCTACTTATTTTTGATTTTGTTGCCTGGCTTTTGGTATCATATCCAAAAAATCATTGTCCAGGCCAATGTCAAGAAGACTTTTACCTATGTTCTCTTCTAGTAGTTTTATAATTTTAGATCTTATGTTTAAGTATTTAATCCATTTTAAGTTGATTTTTGTATATGGTATGAAGTAATGGTCCAATTGTATTCTTCTGCATGTGAATATCCAGAGTTCCCAGCACTATTATTGAAGAGCCTATCCTTTCCCTATTATGTGTTCTTGGCACCCCTGTCAGAAATAAGTAGACCACAGATGCATGGATTTATTTGTGGGCTCTCCATTTTGTTCCATTGGTCTATGTCTATTTTTATGCCAGTACCATACTGTTTTTTTTTTTTTTTTTGAGACAGAGTCTCACTTTGTTGCCCGGGCTAGAGTGAGTGGCGTGGCGTCAGCCTAGCTCACAGCAACCTCAAACTCCTGGGCTCGAGTGATCCTTCTGCCTCAGCCTCCCGGGTAGCTGGGACTACAGGCATGCGCCACCATGCCCGGCTAATTTTTTTATATATATATCAGTTGGCCATAATTTCTTTCTATTTATAGTAGAGACGGGGTCTCGCTCAGGCTGGTTTTGAACTCCTGACCTTGAGCAATCCGCCCGCCTCGGCCTCCCAAGAGCTAGGATTACAGGCGTGAGCCACAGCGCCCGGCCAGTACTATACTGTTTTGGTTACTATGCCTTTGTGATAGATTTTAAAATCAGGGTGTATGATGCCTCCAGCTTTGTTATTCTAAAGATTGTTTTGGTTATTTGGGATATTTTCTGGCTCCATAAAATTTTAAGATTTTTTCCTGCTTTTGTAAAGAATGCCATTGAGATTTTGATGGGGATTGCACTGAATCTGTAGATCACTTTGGATAGTAAAGACATTTTAACAGTATTATTCTTCTAATCTGTTAGAAGATAGAAGGAAAGGCTGTCTTAATGGAAAGGCTATCTTTTCATTTACCTGTCTCTTCTTTAATTTCTTTCATCAATGTCTTAGAATTTTCAGTATATGAATCTTTCACCTCTTTGGTTAAGTTTATTTCTAAGTATTTTATTCTTTTCGTTGCTATTGTGAAATGGGACTGTCTTCTTGATCTCTCTGATTTCATTTTTGGATAGTTCATTGTGTATAGAAACACAATTGACTTATGCATGCTGATTTTGTACCCTGAAACTTTACTAAATTTATTTATTAGTTTTAACAGTTATTTTGTTGTTGTTGAATCTTTAGGGTTTTCTATAAATATGATCATGTCCTCTGCAGAGATAATTTTACTTCCTCCTTTCTGATTTGGATGCGTTGTATTTCTTTTTCTTATCTAACTGCTCTGGCTAGGACTCCCAAATACTATGTTGAAAAGAAGGGTGAGACTGGACATCCTTGCCATGTACTACATCTTAGAAGGAAAGTTTTTGGTTTTCTTGCATTGATTATGTTACCCGTGGTGTTTTTTATATATAGCCTTTATTGTCAAGTTCCTCCTATGCCTATTTTGTTGAGTTTTAATCATGGTGTTGAACTTTGTCAAATGTTTTTTATTCATCAGTTAAGATGATCACATGGTATTTTCTTTCATTTTGTTTCAGTGTATTGTAGCACACTGATTTGTGTATGTTGAATAATCCTTGCACCCCAGGGATAAATCCTACTTGTTCACAGTGTACGATCCTTTTAGTGTTGTGGAATTCAGTTTACCAGTATTTTGTTGAGGATATTTTACATTTATGTTTATCAGGATATTGCCCTATAGTTTTCTTTACTTGTAGTGTCTTTGTCTGGTTTTGGTACCAGGGTGAAGTTGGCCTCAGAAGGAGTTTGGAAGTATTCCTTCTTCTAATTTTTGGAAGAGTTTAAGAAGGACTGGTATTAATTCTTTTTTGAATGTTTGGTACAGTTTACTCATGAAGCCATCTGGTCCTGGGTCTTTCTTTGTTGGGAGATTTTTGATTACTGATTCAATCTCCTTATTTGTTATTGGTCTTCAGGCTTTCTATTTCTTCTTGATTCAGTTTTGATAGGTTATATGTTTCTAGGAATTTATCCATTTCTTCTGAGTTATTAAGTTTATTGGCATTTAATAGTCCTAACACAGTCCCTTAAGAGACTTTTATTTCTGAAGCGTCTGTTGTAATGTCTCCTCTTTTAGTTCTGATTTTGTCTTCTCTTTTTTCCTTTATTTGTCTAGCTAAGGGTTTGACAATTTTATTTATTTTAAAAAAATCAACTATTAGTTTTGTTGATTTTTTTCCATTGTTTTTAATTCTCTATTTGATTTATTTTTTGCTTTTTATCTTTATTATTTTTTTCCATCTGCTAACTTTGGGCTTAGCTTGTTGTTCTCCTAGTTCCTTGAGGTGTAAAGTTATATTGTTTGAGATTTTTCTTCTCTTTTAATATAGGCATTAATCTCTATAAATTTACCTCTTAGTACTGCCTTTGCTGCATCCCATCGGTTTTGATATGTTGTGTTTTCATTTTTGTTTGTCTCAAGATATTTTTTTATTGCTGTTATTGATTTCTAGTTTCATTCTACTGTGGTCAGAAAAAATACCTGGAATGATTTTGATCTTAAATTTGTTAAGACTTGTTTTGTGAACTAACATGTGACCCATCCAAAAGAACAGAATATTCCATGTGTGCCTGAGAAGCATGTGTATTCTGCTGTTGGGTAGACAGTTCTATGTGTTTGTTACGTCTATCTAGTCTATAATATTCAAATTCAAATAAGCAATTTCTTTACTGATTTTGTCTAGATGTACTATTATTATAAATGGAGTACTGAAGTCCCCTACTATTATTGTATTAATGTCAATTTCTATCCTTAGATCTGTCAATACTTGCTTTATATATTTATGTACTCTGATGTGGGGTGCATATATATATATAAATAATTATGTTTTCCTGTTGAATTGATCTTCTACCTTTACATGACCTTTGACTCTAGAGCCAGTTTTAGACTTAAAAATCTACCTTGTCTGATGAAAATATAATTACTCCTGATTTCCTTTGGTTACTACTACAAAAAATATCTTTTTCTATCTCTTCTCTTTCAGCCTATGTATATTTTTAATTATAAAATGAGTTTCTTATAGACAGCATTTCATTAGATCCTGTTTTCTAAAATCTATTCGTCTACTCTATGCCTTTTGATTGGTGAGTTTAATTCATTTACATTTAAGGTAATTATTGATAAGTGAGCACAGACTATTCCCATTTTGTTGTTTTCTGTCTATTTGACAGTTATTTTGCATCTCTTTTCCTCTCTTGCTGTCTTTTTTATTTGAAGATTTTTTAATAGTGATTTACTTTGATTACTTTGATTATTTACTTTGATTATTTTCTCTATCCTTTGTGTATCTATCATAAGATTTTTTCTTTGTGGTAAGCTGGAGGCTTGCATAAAGTGTCTGTTTACGGCCGGGCGCAGTGGCTCACGCCTGTAATCCTAGCTCTTGGGAGGCCGAGGCGGGCGGATTGCTCAAGGTCAGGAGTTCAAAACCAGCCTGAGCAAGAGCGAGACCCCGTCTCTACCAAAAATAGAAAGAAATTAATTGGCCAACTGATATATATATAAAAAATTAGCCGGGCATGGTGGCGCATGCCTGTAGTCCCAGCTACTCGGGAGGCTGAGGCAGAAAGATCGCTCGAGCCCAGGAGTTTGAGGTTGCTGTGAGCTAGGCTGACGCCACGGCACTCACTCTAGCCTGGACAACAAACCGAGACTCTGTCTCAAAAAAAAAAAAAAAAAAAAAAGTGTCTGTTTACTATACTTGTCATTTTAAATTGATAACTTTAATTGCACACAAAAATACTATACCTTTACCACCTCTATCCTGTCACACTTTGTGTTCTTATAGTTGGAGTATGCTTTTTAAAATATTATATATCCACTAACAAATTTTTACATTTTAACTTTCATATTAGGGTTAAAAGTAAATTATACACCACAATTAGTGTTACATTAATCTGCATATGCCTATATATTTAGCATCACTAGTGGTATTTATGTACTTGTTTCTATTTCTATACATATTGTAATGCCTAAATCAAAAGACACGGACATATTTTTAAATGTCTAAGTTTGATGTGTATATATTCTGTGAATATCAATGATGTAAAATGACCATTTATCTGGAATTCAGAGTATTTTGATTACTTAGAATTATGTATCAATTAAATAAAACATGATATGCATGAAAAAAACTTCCCTAAGGTATCTTTCTTATCATTTGTGTAAAATTTTAAAGACTATAAATCTTTGCACTTGATTTTTGTTTTTTAAACCAAGACTTGCTGTTCTGGAATATACAGTGATTTCCTAAGGTCACACATATTACTCTTAAAAAGCTATGTTTATCATGTTATTACACCTTTGCATCCTACCCAATCTCCAACACTTAAATGAAAATACACAAACATCTTCCCAATGAATTCACCTAAGAAAGCCAAAGTTTGAAGCACTTCTAGGCAGCAAGTTGCTAAAAATAAAAATTTTCTAAAATCTTGCTTTTCAAAATGTAGTAATTTTCACACTTAATGGATACACTAACCTTTGGGTTTTGGTGGCACAGGACCTACAAATCCAATATTGTCATAAAAGTTATGAATAGCGCTGGGATTAAAATGTGGTCCTGAAACATATAAAAAGTAAATATATCAATGTTTATAGCTCAAAAATACTTAACTTTATTTTTAAAGCAAGTATTTCTTTCTAAAAAAACCACCATATTATAAACAGAAAAATGCTTTTATTTTGTCCCTCTAATGGCAAATTATACATAAGATTTCAAAATACTTTAAATATAATTTATTAGGTATATTATAGTATTCAGAAACAAAGGTAAGTGGTAAATTGAGGAAGAAGTCAAATCAATGCTCGTAAGACATTAACAAAATCACAAGTAGAAACCTGTTCTACGTGACAAGTTAAAATAACTTAAAATTTAACAATTTAAAATATAATTTTAAATTTTCAAACACGGACTTAAACAATTAAATAGCTTTGCCCCAAGTAAGTATAAAAACATTATACATTAATGTAATATAATGGTATGGATTTTATGCAAAAGGAGTAAGTTTAAGGACTGTATTGTAGTTTCTAAACCAGCATTAACTTTTTCTCTCCAAAGTTAAATTATGGTAATTTTCTATGAATTTTAAGATAAATAGTTTAACCAACATTTTACAAGAAATAAAACTAATTGTCTTCCAATTTAATGGATTCTAGAATACACTCAAAAGTGTGATCTAGGACTTTTTTTTGTCTGGCTTCCCTCCCTTTCCTACCTTTTCCATTTTATATATTTCTATTATTTCTTCAACTTTAGAATTAGATTCAAGTGATACAATTTTCTTTTAATTCTCTACAGAACTGAATTAAATTGTAAATACTTTTTACTACATTAATAAATTATTGCTTGTTACTAACAACTCAAGCATAAACAACTATCAGTGTCCTAAGAAGGTATAAATCTCATTTTTATTTTGTTCTCTATTTTATCAATTTAGATAGTACCATTGAAAAGGGGATGCCTTTTAAATTAGATTCTTAAAAGTATAATTTTTGAAAGGTAAAAGAAAAAAAAGAAACAGGAAAAATTTATATGAATACATATATTTTAATCTTAATACTGTGACAGATTCTACTAATAAATAAAAGCAATAGTTCTGGCAATGCATCTAGACAACAGTATTGTCATCCCTTAACACATGACTACAGTGATTCTGAAGGGTATAAAATATATCAAGTTACTCTTCAACCAAGTACATAATTATCTTTTGAGGGTAAAGAGGAAATAACTAAATAGTTCTTTAGTGCTATCTGGCTCCAGAGCAAAATGTTCTGAGACAGTATTAAGGTTATGATTGATAAGTCTGATTTTAGCTATAGGAAAAGAGTTGGTAGATTAAAACAATCAATTTCATCTGAGTATGCACTGAACTTTACCTCGGGCTTGAAAAAGATCAATTTCTTTGGTTAAGCAGTCAATGTCAATCTGGAGTTGTCTATTACAACTTCTTAACTGCTGCATTTCTTCGAGCTGAAAAATAATTCTATGTAAGAAAGACTGGCATTGAATTCTCATGTCATTAGTTAATCAAGAGTAGAGTTTGGCAGTGGAAAGTAAGGACAGAAAAATAAGTATGACTTAAGAGCATTTGTAGAAAACTAGATGAAGACATACACTTATGGCAGATGGCCTATTCTCATGTTCAAGCATAGAGGTCACAACAGTTACATAAAGACTTACAGAAGGTATCTGGGATATGGAATTTGATCTTTTCAGGCGCCTTCGAGTTAGATTATTTTCCATTTCATTAACCTCAGATTTTAGTTTATCCAGCTTTTTCTTCTGAATCTCAAGTTCTCTTTGAAGTCGTTCCATTCTGGCCTTCTGGTGTACCAATAGAGCTGTAACACATATTAGTAAACATGAAGACTCACCCACTTTAGTCAATTAACCTTTAAGTAGACTTGGGAAAACAAAACAAACAAATATTTCTCTGACAAGAATTTGCCAAGAATTCCAAAGCTACGTTAAAACAAATATTTTGAGTGTAAACTTTAAAATTTTCAAAAATATTAAAGTGAAAATTGTTTTAATTATTTAAGCAAATGTCACTCACTTTAATTTCTTAACTTTTTTTTTTTTAGTTTTTGGAAAAACTCACTTAATGGCTGAAGATAGCATTTTTAAACCTATAACTTCTCTAATAGTTCTCTAGTCAACTGACATACTCACTGTATCTAATTCACATCTAACTTACGGAAAGGACAAGCCCTTTTACTCCAGAGTCTGGCATGTCTGATCTATGAATGAGGTATTCTAATATGAAAATATTATAGATATTTTAGAAGTAAATGTGGAATAAGTTGAATCTATTTTGACGTATATAACAAATAAAATAGGTAGACTGATTTCAATCTACGTGAATGTTAATATTATTCAAATCACAAAGTAAAAACTCTATCATTTTAAAGAAATCAAACACTTAGATTTCCTTACACTCAGATTATATTTTGTGAAAATATTTTCCCAAGATTTGTAAAGAAACAAAATAAGCAATCAATCTTGCAGCTTAAACAATGAACTACTTGGGAGACCTCACTAAGCTATAAAAACTGGTATAGGTTCTTGTGATCCATCCTTGGATGTGAGTCTCATCTTTTAGGATACCAGACTAGAAGCAAAGATACCTGAATACCTGAATTTTATAAAGAGACAGCTTGGGATGATTCTTCCTCAAGAAAACAGGCAGATTTGACAAAGTACCTTAAACAACCTCTAGAAATAAAAAAGTCATTGAAATGAAAAAGTCGAATAGACAGACTAAACAGTAGATTAGATACAGTCAAAGACACCGTTGGTGATCTGTCAGACAGATCTAAGAATACAGGATGCACACAGAAAAAGTGAGAGAAAAAATAAAACAAGTTGAAAGGTCTCACGTACATCTAAAAAATGAATTCCAGAAGGTGACAACAGAGAGAATAGACAAAAGGCAAGATCTAAAGAGAAACTGGATGAAAGTGTTCTAAAATTGAAGGAAAAAAGGAAGTAACAAATTTTAGAAGATAATAAAATAATGTGTTCACCTAGCAAATTTATCAAAGAATACAAATGAATAAAGACATATTAAGACAAAGTTTGAGAGAATTCATCAATTATAGATAGCTACTGAAATAACTACTAAAGATGTGAAGGAAATTAAATACAAAAGGATGGAATAAAACAAGTAAATTTTTAAAAAAGCTCTGACTATAAAACCAATAAAAAAAAAGACTATGGTGAGGGTGGGGGAGCAGCTAAAACAAAGCAAAACTAAAATATTAGAAAAGAATAATAAGAAATTGGAAGTGTAAAGATCAAAGGTGAAGTACTCTAAGGTCTGGAAAGTATAAGAATACCCTCAAATGTTGCTCAGCCAAATATACATGTTAAATATTTAGGGATCACTACTAAAGGAAGCTTAATAGAGTGTGCAGTTTCTAAATGAAGACAGAACAAAAGGAGAAATAAAGAAATTTGGTTACATTTAGATAGCAGGAAAAGAGGAAGTAAAAGAAAGAAATACAATACAAAACAAAAACCCAACAGGAATAATTCCAAATATATTACATCAGAAATCATAATAAATGCAACCTAATTAAATGTATCTAATTTAATCAGATCTCATTTAATTAGACCTGAGAGATCAGTGGACTGGATTTTAAAAACTCAACCTATATGCTATTTAAAAAAAAACAAAACAAACACTCAAAACATAATTCACTCATCCCCTCTCTTAATAAGTTGACAGCCTACTATGTCAGGTGTTGTAAGCACTTGAGAAATTAATGAACAAAACAGGCAAAAAATTCCTTCCCTTTCTGAACTTACATTATAATGACAGGATAGACTGCGGAAGGGCAGGAGAATAAGAACAAGACTCTATATATGTGGAAAACAAACTATGATGCATGGGTCAAACCTGGCCCACTTCCTGCTTTGTGAATAGAGTTTTACTGGAATACGTCCTTGTTCATTTGTTTACTTGTTGCCTATGGCTGTTTTCATTTTACAACCGAACTGAATAGTTGTGACAGAAACTTTGTGGCCTACAAAATCCTAAATAATTTACTATCTGGCTCATCACCAGATCATGTAGAACCTTGTTGACTGTATTACTGTGAATAAAATGGGGACACATCACAGCAAAGTTCAAAGCAAAAGGACTAAAGTAAAGTATACTGTACTTCAGGCACCACTGTAAGAGGCATAAAATACTAGCAGCCTATTGCTCAAAGCAGTAATATATGAAGGCTGATGCAACTGAAGGCAACAACAAAACCAAAAGCCAGCTCTACTCCTATGCTGACTTGACCCCTTACACTAATAACCTAACAGAAAAAGCGGTATCCTAATTTCTGGGCATAAATACTACTTACTTCAGTCTCTTCTGTTCCTTTTACACACAGTGCTTGGCATTCAGTAAAAAATTATGAGACATACAGAAAAGTGAGAGAAAAACCCAATTCATCAGCAAGAGATAAAGCAATCAACCGAACTATACTCTAAGATGACCCAGATGCTGAAATGTCCTGATAGGTTATTTAAAAATAACTATGATGACCACATTAAAGGAACTAGTTTAAATGGTGGACAACATGTGGAAACAGATGGAAAATTTGAGAAGAGAGGTAGGAATTATAAAAAAATCAAATGTTAGAAATAAAAAATATGATATCAGAGATAAAAAATTGCTTTGACAGGCTTATCAGCACACTAGATACAGAAGAATCACTGAACTTGAAGATAGAAATTACCCAACCTGAACACACAAAAAAAGTGGGGAAAAGAACAAAGAATTTAAGAGTTGCAGACAATATGAAATAGTATATGCATAACTGGTAAAAGAGAAGAGAAAAACAAGGCAGAAGAATTATACTTGAGGAGATAAAGGCCAAAGATTCTCCAAAATTAATGAAGTACAACAAATCATAGATCTAAGAAGCCCAGAGATCCTCAAATAGTGCTAAATCGAAACAAAACACCTACACACAACATAGTTAAACTTGCTGAAAACCAAAGATAGAGGGAAAATCTTACGGCAGCCAGAAAAATTTTTATATAGTTATTTCAGAGAAAGATTTGACTTTAGGGAAAAACATATTATGAGATAAAGATGTTCTTAATAACTCAGTAGTCTACTTAGTTGGTAGACTACTTAGAATCTCTTAGGCATAACTGTCAATTATAAACAAGTTACAAACACTATGAATATAGAACAGAGATATATCTATTTTTCAGCATATTTTTTCTTCAAAGTAACTGGGTTTTTACGAGTCTAGTTCACTTTTTATTTGTGGTTTGGGATTTTTAGATAGGAATCTCAGAAAGAAAAATTACTGAGAAAAAAGAGAATCGAGTGAATCATAGTGAATTTCTAAAAATCACTATGAAAATTCAGCTAAAGCTATACTCTCCTCTGTGTGTTTTCTCTACAATTTTAACCTTTACTGTCCAAAATACTACCCAATACTTGTACATTATGAAATGGTGTTATTAGAGTCACACTGAAGAAGGATAATTATAGTAAAGATACTTTTGTTCTAATTAGCTTCCACAAAATGAAAAAAGGTTGGGTGCTGATTGGGAAGAAAGAAACGTGACAGTCATACTTCCAGGGTCCAAAAGAAGGTTGGACAGAGAGTAAGGAAGGCTTACAAAATTAGTTGTTGGGTGAAGCTAGACATTCATACTTGTTACAGAAAATGACTGTGAATAGAGATTTGAGAAAATCACTTACATTGGCTTTTTGGTTTTTGCTTGTTTTGACATGTAAGGAAACTTATAAACAAAATCATAGCAACCACACATACAGATGAACCGGGCTCATATACTCACATAGTGGGTGGGGTGATTTGTTACACAGACTACAGAGAAGAAAAAATTTTCTCCACCCCTATCATTTATTTACATATAGATTAATACTGACTTAAAAAGCCAAGCTATAAAGATTCAATTATATTGGCCAGGACTTTTGTTTAAAGATAGTTAACTGAGCATTGTGTACAAAGAAACCCCATAAAAATAAAAGAGGAATAAAATAGGTATAATCCAACAGCAATATTAAACAAGAAGGCGGCAGGCAGAGTGTGGTGGCTCCTTCCCGCCTGTAATCCTAGCACTCTGGGAGGCCAAGGCAGGAAGATCTCTGAGCTCAGAAGTTAGAGACCAACCTAAGCAAGAGTGAGACTCCGTCTCTATTAAAAAATAGAAAAAATTAGCCGTGTTGTGGTGCATGCCTGTAGTCCCTGCTACTCAGGAGGCTGAGGCAGAAAGATCACTTGAGCCCAGGAGTTTGAGGCTGTAGTAAGCTACGATGATGCCACTGCATTCAAGTCAGGGTGACAGATCAAGACTCTGTCTCAAAAATAAATAAGAGAAGATAGAATAAAATAAAGAAGGCAATTAATTGACAATAGATATCAGCAAGCTTCTGGAATACTAAGACAGACTAATGAAGAAGAGTCTCATGGACAGGGAGGGCTCTGCAGAAACCAAAAGAGGCTCTTGACTTTGGAGAATGCAGGTAACAACAGGAGGCAGAAGTGAAGAATAGGCCAGAAAACAGAGGCTTAACCGGCTATCTGTATTTGGAAAAGTCAATCTCTCTGCATCCTTAAGGACCTTTGCCATAGGTTTATTGTTAAGTTTCCTCCCACCCCCCAAACACACTTTTCCCATCCTGGCCTCTGCACATACAGAACACTAGGTGGTGATGGTAGAGTATTCACTTGTAGCAGCTGACTCCTTGCCTATCCATGGCAAAGCAGTCTGCCAAGTAACAAGTCTCACTTTCATACACAAGGCTTTCAGTCAGCCTTCATAGCACTTCATTCTTAAATATGAACCAACAGCCAACGAT